TATTAATTAATGACTTATACAATAAATAAATAATTGTTAATACATTTTTTCCATATTTCTCCAAAATTTTTATAAATTAAAAAAAAAGCTTTTTTGTACGTTATAAATACAATAATAGATTTTGATTGCGTTTTTCCTTTGACTTAAGAACGCATATCACACAGTTAGCGGGGGAAAAGCTTAGAGAGGTGACAGAAGCACAAATATATGCAGCAACGCTGGCAATCCTTTTTTTCTTGGGGATCTACTTACGTACAGGCTTTTACGAAAACTTGACCCCAATTTTTGTGTGTCATTAAAAAAATATAAACTTGTAGATCCATTTGAAAATCAAATAGATATATCTAAAAGTAGTCTTTAATATGAACAAAAATTGGGAAATTTATACAGATCATATAAATGCAATTTCAAGTGATTTTTCTAGAAGGTAACATATGAAATTGAGATTTTTTAAAAGGATGTATATAAAAAAAAGGATACAGTTAAACAAGCTGCAATTTTTGTGGAAATTTTTTATGCATGATAAACATCTTGAAGGTACATTCACTAGCATGTTATACAACCCCATTAAAAGAAGCGGTACTCAATGAAACTGCATAGCCTCATACTAAGTAGCCGACATATTAATTATATTGTATTGTGCCCTAATATATTGTTTATAATCCTTGACTTATTTAATGTTAAAATATTTATTAAAGCACACCCGATTAACGTAGGTATACTCATTCCAATGATAATCTCACTATCTTTGCACACAATATCGTTTTATATAAAGTATATTTATATTTATCATTATGTTTATTTACCATACGATTTCGTGAATGCATAACTTTATACTTAGATACCCAAGCATTCACTGTCCACTGATTTATTTTTATCAACACAGTCTTATCAATTTTATTGTTCACTGCAAGGCTATGCTCTTTTCTGGTCACCTAAAACTTCGTACTTGGTGGAAGCCCAGCGATTTGCCGGAAACCATTTATAAACTAAATGGTGATATAGATTTTTTTTTGTGCTAGTCCAAGCATTACAGGTTCTTATTATACTTTAAAAAACCTTAGCAGCTGTGTTTGTGACTGTGCAACAGCACATGTGTATTAATCGAGCCTTTTTGTCACCTGTTCTTATACGTAACTATACGATACCATTCGCTTCATAGGTAAGATAATTGTATACTCATAACAGAAACATAGATTCGTGAGAGTATATAAATTTATTACAATTACAATATTAAAAAACTTGATTTTAAGTAAACTAAGTGTAATTACAAGAAGTTGAAATAACTTTTACCTTGATTGGAGGAAATGTTCCATCATCAAATACAAGGTCAATAACATTGATTCCCTCTGACTTTAACTCTTCAGTTTTATAAGTTGGTTCGCACACTCGTACGACTTCCTTGACGTTGTGCTTTTTCAATTCCTGAAATAGACTCAGTATAAGTACATACTACTACTAAACTCACAAGACTTTTAAGTAGAATTTAAAACTTTTTTAGAAAAAAATTGAGACAACAGGCTCAGATACCTATGGAGTGTTACAAGAATACAACGCAAAAAAAAAAAACTTGCATCTTACCTAGAAAAAAAAATTACTTTTAATTCTCTGTCAAAAATCGTGAACATACAACTTCAGAATTATAAGATAATTATCTAAAAAGTATGTAACATCTATATTGATTAACTAAAGTTACTGTCGACACCTTTGTTGTTATAAATTGGTTAAAAAATTATAAAGACAATTATTTATCGATCAATTACGATAAGCACTTTCTTATACAAGAGGCTATTTTTTATAACCTAGATACAAATCTACCATACAAGACAATAATGCCAATGAGCTACACTACTATTGACTAAACTAAAATAATCTTATATCGTACTTATTTATAGTCAAGAATGGTAGATGCACTTGACATAACCCATTCCGATCATATTTCTGTACATCGAACGAGCTATATTCTTTGGCTGTACTGCGTTGCGTCGCTTGTACAACCAGCCTTAACAGAATGGGTGACTTAAATAATTATTTTCTCTAAAACTGGTCATTTTCGGGACTCGCACTTACGGTATTTTTTGTTCAGAAAGGCATAAACTAGCATATTAATACTTTAGAACGTTTCTTTGGGAATCACAATCACATTGGGCTGGTGCAGGGTCCTTTTAGCTTTATTTGAAACATTGCAATTTTTTTTTTTTTTATCGACTTACGCAAAACCCTTATCCCTCTACAAAATTTTGCGTTACATCGGTATCTCTTTCGTCGTCTATTCTATCAGTTATTTTATGCAGGGTTAAAGGTATTTTGGATGAAATGTCGTTGATGCAGACTTCTTTATTATTCGAAACTCCAACGAGCTTGGTATTGAAGAAATTCTTTCCTGAACAGTATATATTTAATTGTGTACAAGTAGTCCTATTAAAATTAAAAAAAAAGAAAAACAAATAAAGCTCACAAGCTAAATACTAGAAGACAATCACTATAAAAAAATCGGTTCAGACCATACTCTGAACAATTTTGGTCAACAGTCTCGAACAACTATCTAAAAAAATTCTTGATAAGTATCGATAATAGATTTTATAGATTATAATTCTATAAGCGTGGTATGTGTGAGAATAAACTAACGATTTTAGATTGGTGACCTTGAGAGAAAGTGTGACCGAAGTGGATTTTGCATATTATTCTCCCTTCACTTTACCCCCTTGACGTACTTCCCGTCCCCACCACACCACACTACGCTACCACAGCACACATTTTCAATTTTGTACAATCTTATTTCTTTTTCTTCAAGCAATTTTAAGGAAAAAAAAAATAAATAAAAACAAAAAACAGTTTTCAAAGAGATTAAAACCTCCAACCTCCTACACTCTTGCTAAGGCCCTCACCTACTCTGCTATGAGCGAACCCAGTATAAGAAATTCTATCATATCTTCTTATGGCGTGGTTCGTTATTTATTTTTAGTATACATTTTTGTTCACTGTTTATCAATTATTTAAGTTTGGTTATAAATTTTATAAATAAATAAATAANGAAAAAAAAAAAAAAAAAAAAGATAACTCTACATCAGCTACAACAGCTTTATGCCTACTACCACTGTGTATTTATTTTTGAAGACTAAAATTATAGATTGTCCTAAATAATTAAATTCTGCAGAAAAAGGCTGTAGGCTATTAGCAAGAAAGTTTTCGTATTGTTTCAAATTCCGAACGTGCATTACGTAAAAAATTTTAATATGAATTATTAGACTTGAGGCAATAAATAATTATAAAATATGTATGAAAATACTAATACTTTTTAGTTCTGAACACAATCCTATAGAATAGTTATAAATAAATTGGAAAGCGAAAATATATTTACAAACGATTCACTGTAGTTTTACGGTAATACCATACTAATAAATTAAATATATCTTATATTATTTACGTTCACGGCGTATGTTTTAGTTAAGCTCTTTTACCACAATTTCTTCCCTCACAATAGCTACATCCTTCATCCGCAGAGGCAGCTTGGTTGCAATTTTTATTTTACACAGTGAATTATAACTTTAGCCGTCAGAACAAACGTTCCCAATATGCTAGTATTTTCTCGATATATGTGTTACCTACTTTGGAAGCCACCTTAATCAAAGTCACTGTATTTTAATCCCTAATGATAAATAATAGCCCAAAATTGTTATGATTAGACAATTCAATACACTTATAAAAGTTTAGACATAACTTTTCTTGTGACAGCGCTATGCCAATATCATTCTGCCCTAAAAATTATTGATTTAAGCTTTAATTTTAATTTCTAGTTGAATGGCTTGGTCTTAACATATATCGACCTACTTTGGTTATCGTTGATTACGTTAATAGTCCTTGAATTCTTAAATCCATGAAGAAAAATATTGCTAGCCCTAAGTTTCTCACAGTACCATATCAGTCTTTGTTTACATTTTATGAAAATTAATTTAAATTCAAATTCATGTATCTAATTTACTACTAAACTTTAAGCATAATATATCTGCACTGCAATTACACTTCTAGAACCTCATTGAACAGTTTTATCTCCATCTTGACTCTACGGTTTGTTGTCTGCAAAGTTGTGTTTGTTTTTACTTGCACGATTATTTTTGTACGTTCAATTTTAGTACCTTAATTTAGACATGCTTAATATCTCTTTTGTATAAGTAAAACTGTAAAAGTTACATTTTTGTAGGAAATTTGTACTCCTTTTTTTTAGTTCTAAATTTCGGACTTAATTTTAAATATTTATAATTTTTTTTTTTCAACATTTGTACATAACTTTTTAACGATATACTATCATATACTTCTAATTAGTTTGCAGATAAATTTGCTACCTCTTCTAAACAGCACTTTTTTGCTTTTGCTGTTAAATCCTATCATTATAATCTACCGTTTTGGTTTCTCGTAATTAAAATATGATATTTTCTTCGGTAGTCTGGGATAATGAATAAACGTTAGTAAAATAGAAAATCACGCGGAAATTCGTCTCTTCACATATTGTATGCTATTCAGTTTTTGCTACCAACTGCATCTGTTTCCATAAGTGAAAGAATTTAGTTAAACTTTTAAGTTCTTATTGAAACGACTTCAAAAAGTTTTATGTTATTCTGAGACGTTCTTTATTGTTTTACAAATGGATTTATATCCTTTTTTTTAATTTACTGTATTTTTCTCACAATACATAGTATTTACGTAGGTACATTTCATACCTCATTTTAAATTTCAATCTCTCTAACCAATGTCTTATTGAGCTACACATGCACTTTTTCAACATCTTTTGAATATTTTCAAAGAATAGCACCATTGGTAATAAATAAAATTTTCTATTGTATGAAAACCAGCGTATTTACCAGATATTTTCTCTGTTGTAATTGCCTTACAGGTGGTGTCAAGGAAATAGTTCTTTTAAGAAAAATAATACAATGTTAAAATGTGCTTAAAAAAGAAGTATCTCAATTCTTTTCAAAATGAATCGTTGATTGGCCGTTGAAAACCCGTCATATCAACCATGTACTTCATTTACTTTTATTTTTCATAACGTTTCTACTCAGGAACCGATTTATCATAGCACGAGATTTTTTCTGCAGATTCTTTTGATAAAAATTTTATAATTACTGAAATTTTTTTAACGATAGATGCCTTTTAAAAAAAGTAATTTTTTCGAAATGTTTACAATTTTATCTCTTGATGTTACTTTGGATTATTTTCTTCCTGTTTCTCTGCATCTTTTTTCTCTAGTTTTCACCACTTTTACTTGTCAACGTTAATTATTTTATTATCTGCTCCAACTTATATTTTTTTCTTGTGGCGGTTGGGAACAAAAAAAGTTTTTGTTTGAATTACAAAAAAAAAAAAAAAAAAGATAACTCTACATCAGCTACAACAGCTTTATGCCTACTACCACTGATATATATATATATATATATGTATATATATATATATATCTTATAGTTGTGATATCGCTTAGTAATGTTCGTCACTAACACACGTTATTATATTCAGAGGACACATAAATAGGTGCCCTACTCGAATATTCAGGCAGTTGCCTACTAGTTGGCAATCAGTAAACATTCACCACGATGTACATCTACTCTGTAACCTTTACATACTTTTAATAAACTCTTACATTATATTATAATTTCAAGTAATGGCTTGCGTTTGATTTTCCCACTGTACCTTAATACATCACAATTTGGCGACGAGGATTGTAAAAGCTGAACCACGTGTAAAATTTTAATTACGGTGTGGAAGATAGTGTTAAGCTCTGACGTTAGTATTTATAAGTAGGAAGGTGCTTTGAGCTGAGAAGTAAAGGCTGTACGAAGGTATAGCAATACATATGACATTTCTAAGTGCAATGGAATGAGTGGAAAAAAAGGAACGGGTTGGATACAAAACCTTAGTAAACGGCAAATAATCAAGGAATTGAGCCAGCGTAACATACAGAGTGATGAACAGGAGAAATACGAGGAACTCCGAGAACGTTTAAGAAATGTACTAAAAGCCACAGAAGCAGAGTCGTCTGATGATATATTCGCTAATAAGGAAGAGGCAGAAAAAGTTAAAAACAGTTCCTCAAGTGCAGACGAAGACTCAAGCGTGGATAGTGAAAGGAGTGAAGGTGTAAAGCTGCAGTTTTGCCGTGAACGTGACGAGTAGGAAACTTTTGTAGAGCAGTTAGATTTTTATATAATAGAAAAAGACATCAAGGATAAAGAAGAAAATGTCTACGTTAATGACGAGCATGGATCAAGGGGTATTTAAATTAATTAAACAGCTTCTTGCACTAGAAAAAATCGCAGATGAAAAATTTGAAGATATAGTTAGTGAAGTGTCTGCACATTTTCAACCCAAATCGTCAGTGGCTATGGAGCGCTGTGTTTTTCACCAGGCTAAACAAGAAGCTAATGAATCGA